CAGCTCTACACCTTGTTATTTCATATTCTCCTTGAAGGCCCAGGTTCCCTTGAACTTTCCTAGCACAGGTAATGCCTTTCTTCTTCTCTCCAAAAACTGATGTTCGAACACAGATGATCTTTGTTTAAAGGTAGGATATCACAATAAGTTGAACCTGCCAAGTTAAAACTTTGAAGTCGACAATGAAACCCTGAATTGCATCAGATGTAATTTTAAAAATGCAATTGTTTCACCCAAACCACTCAGGGCCTTGAGGTTTGCCACAAGCAGTTTCCTTATAAACTGTCTCATGAGCAGAAACTCAATTCATCATAGTATCCTCAAACTTAGTATCCTAAATCTTAGAAATCCATTATCAAACACAATCTTGACAACATGATATGTGTAGTAAACATTTTATGTGAGATCCCAACAAACACCTGTGATAGTTCTATGTAACTTTCTCACTTCTATCCACGAGGAAAAATCATTGACAGCATTAAGGCTTTCCCATCTATCAGGCAGAAATAGGATAGTGACACTCCTTCCAATGCTTTGGAGATGAAAACAGTGGTTCTTGCCTGTGAAGAGCTTACATTTGGTAGTCTTTGCTGTCAGGTAAAATATCTTCAATCTGCTTTGAAATCCCTGCCCACCAGATTGATGCCTGAGCCCTAGAAAATCCCAAATATCCCAGATGTATCTTGTCTAGAATATCATTCTACAGTAAAGCTGGAATGACCAGTATCTCATCAAACAACAAAGGGTAATCTATAATGGTGAAATTCTGCTGATGCCCAAATAAGTCTTCATGGTAAACCCTCTGGGCCCTAGGTCAGGCAAGCCTTTGACACAATATTGATGAATGACAATCTATTTTTGGTGTTCTCTTTGTTGCTTTGGATTTGATTGAGTCTGTTTTGAGTATTTGACCAATGTATTGCTGTGACTGAGTAAACCATTCAATTTCACAAATGATTCCCTCATCAGTCAATTTAAGGCTGCTGAGTCATTTTGGAGTGCACATTTTCCATCATTCTTGGCTTCCTCTGCACATACTTGGTCACATAAATTTTGCAAAATGCTTTACAACGCCTAAAAAACTTTGCAAGTCATGAACTGATTTTAGAATTGGAAACACTAACAGCCTTTCTTTTCTTGAGAGTCTGGCATTCACCCATCTTTGTCAACAATGTGTCCCAAGAGTTTAAAAAACCCTCTGAAAATCCGTATTTGCCTTTGAGTTTAACTGCTTCAGTCTATAGACATTTTACAACTGCATGAACCTGCTAGTCCTGCTCCTCATGCTTCTCCCCATATATTAATACATTATCCATGTGGCATATGGCACCTTCTTACCCTTCTGAAATATATGACATGGTAAGCTGGAAAATCTCTGAGCCTCAGGTTATCCCGAATGGCATTTGAAGTAAAACCTGCAGCGTGACAAACATAGTAAGCAGAACTGATTGCTCGCCTAATGGCATATGCCACAAGTCACTGTTGGTATTAAGACTGGTCAAAACTCTACAGTTGTACATTTTGATAAATACTCATTCACTGTAGAGATAGGGTGGATTTCCCTTCCTCCACCACTTTCTTTAACCTTCCTTCGTCAATACATATTCTGACAGAAACATTGGGTTTGCAACACCTTTGCCGAATAACCATTTAGATGGTTTGGTAACCATGGAAATTTGGTCATTTTGTTGAGTTGCTTGGACTTGATTCATGAAGAGATGAGGAATCATCCTGGATGTTTACAGCTACAATAGTTTAGCATCCTTTCTTGATAAGATGCTGTCTTCAGTATTGTGTTTGTTGAATCCTGTGAATAATTTAGAACACCTCATCTCGTCGGAACTTTTAAACCTACATTGTTCTAGTTCTTTGACTGTTTGAAGAAGATTGACAGAACAACATGTCCTCCTGTTCAAGAGTGAGATCTCCTGCCATAAACAAGCTGTGTTAAATTTGATACAGTTGAGTAACCAAGTTCCCCAGAAGAATCTGATACATTTCCAGTTCTTCGCAAGAACATCACTGCATGAGTAAGAGATAGCAAGAACTGCAAATGCTGAAGTCAGAGTCAATACAGTGTGGAGCTGGAGGAACACAGCAAGTCAGGCAGCATCAGAGGAGTAGGAAAGTCGACGTTTTGGGTCCGAAGAAGGGTCCTGACTTAAAATGTCGACTTTGCTACTCCTCTAACTGACCTGCTGTGTTGTTCCAGCTCCACACTGTGTTGCATGAGTAAGAATTTGCTTTTGTTTTGCTGCTCTGAAACTGAGGCCTACTTCTTCATATTTTCTAGAGGTGATCTCCAGGTTGACAGATGTAGCATTCTTTTGTCATAACCTAGGCAGTATCTGGGCCTCTGAGGCTTTTTTTGTTCCACATCACTGACACACTCTTAATAACTGCTGTTTCACCTACTTTTGTGATAAAAGCAAAATACTGCAGGTGCTGGAAATCTGAATCAAACACAGAGAGTGCTGGAGAAACTCAGCAGGTCTAGAGGCATTAGTTGAGACAGAAACAGAGTTAATGTTCTAAATTGAGTATGAATCTTCAACTACAGTTGTGTTGGCGTCTGACGTTTCTGCAGAGTGTTTATTCCTTGCAAAGTGGATATGCTTTGTTGGTCTTCTGTGTCAGTTTGTCCTTCTCCTTTCAGAATTTGTCTGAGAGCCTCTTACGCTTCCAACACAATTTGAATAGCTTTGTCCAAGGTCAATACTTCCCTGTACTGCAATAAATCTGCTGAAGTCTCATCAAGGATTCGAACAACAATTCTGTTTCTTCTGAGTTCTGATTTCAAAACTCCATTGACACAGTGTTCCAATAATTAGTAGAGATCATGAATGAAATTATCTTCAGATTTCCCTGGAGGTTGAACTGTTAAATCTTGTTCTTTCACAAACATTTTCGTAATTTCTACAAAAGCCACAGCAACTTGAAAACTAAAAAAGAAACATTTGCTGAAAATGTAATATGAAGGAGTAAAAGTGAATTATCTCCTGTCTTTGGGAATGGGAATGCCTCATTGGTTTATGGTCTGCCCAGGCTGAATGTCAAAGAGGAAGTACATCATACAAACTTAACCCTGCTTCAATGTAGCTCTGATTGTCAAGTTAATTTGAGCAGTGCCTGTGCTGTTGCCTGTTGACCATTCGGCAGGGGATCAAGGACTGTGATTGAATCTCTCATGGTGCAGCCATTCTACTCCTCTAAACAGTAGTCTAGCACTCATAAAGATGGGCTGAACTCAGTGGAAGGGCTGCTGCAGACTGCTTGCATTTACACTTGCTGAGTGATGCAGCTTTACAAATGGAGCACTGGAGAAAGGGACAACAAGGTGCAGGGCTGGATGAACACAGCAGGCCAAGCAGCATCATAGGAGCAGAAAGGCTGACGTTTCGGGCCTAGACCCTTCATCAGAAAAAAAAAGTCATGGGAGCAGAAAGGCTGACGTTTCGGGCCTCGACCCTTCATCAGAATAAAAAAACCATATGAGCAGGAAGGCTGACGTTTCGGGCCTGGACCCTTCATCAGACAAACTTCACTGGAGAAAGGCCCTAGATTCACAGACATGGTACTGGATGCCTTCATCAAGAGTTGCACAGGAGAAAGCCAATATTTCTGCACAAGGCAAGGAAATCCTTTAGGACCACTCTCAGAAGGTGCCAGTGTGGTTAATGCAAAGAGTCTCACTTCAATGAGCTGGTAGGGATGTCACAATAAGTTTAGTGATATTACCAGGCTGGTCAAGGTCTGAGAATGTACTTTCAAATGACCTTTAAACCCACCTTATTACCAGATCCTCATGTTGCTCAATTGGCGACATCCTCACCTCCCTCATCCATCACCACTCCCTGGCTCTCAGGAGTGATGGCTAATGTTTAGAAACTTCACATCTCTCTCACTTCAAAGATGCCATCCCCACAACTAGTTCTGGCAGTTTCCATGTGTCACTGTGGCAAGCACATCATTCAAACAAAGAGTGTATAAGGTCAGTGACTGTTTTGGACTCTCTTAGAGGACAAAATGCAAATCACTGCTCAAAGTAAGCTACATTTCCTAAGCCATTAAGATTCTCCAGATGGTTCTCCACATCACAGGGCTGGCTGTCACAGAACCCATAATCTCCGGTATCATTGAACACGTTGGGGATGACGGAGGATCACTGGACTTGAAACGTTAACTCTGCTTTCTCTCATTGGATGTTACCAGACCTGGTGAGTTTCTCTCGCAATTCTTGGTTTTTTTTCAGATTTTCAGCATCCGCAGTTCTTTGTTTTGGGGATCCAATGTGTTCCTGTTAATGCCTCCTCTCAACTCAAAGAGCACCCTCATCCTGCTAACCAGCACAAGGTGGGACGTACTCATGGTGCGACCATAGACTTCTTGCTTTCTAACATACCCCTCACCACTAATCACATCCCACATACCAACACCCACCAAACACCATTCACTTCCTTCACTTGAGCAGTCCTCTTTATAATTTTTGTGTTTTCAGACACCGAACAACCATGGACTGCTCAGCCACAACAGGAGGAACAGATTCAGTAACAGCGCAGCACTGATGAAGAAGCTCTATCACTTGTTTTGATACTTGTAGCCTATGGCTCAGATGTTTGTCACTGACTTTAACTTCGACGCAAGTACAGAGTTGGGATCTGGTCCAGGATGCTGCAACCAGGTCTGAGGAAAAAGAAGAGTATCCCTGTCAGCTCAATGGAGATTCTTGCTGCAAATAACTCAGAAAAGCTGTCTGGTCCTTTATTGTTGGGTCCCTCTTGCGGTTGTACAAATGTCCTTTGATCAGTGACAACTACATATTGGGATTGGACCTGCGCAGTCGAAATTTGTAAACTTTGTATCTAACCAGCCAGTTGTAGATGTTTGACGGCACAATCTGACCAAGTGGGAAGCTTCCGCCATTAGTGCCTGCCCACGTGAACATCTCTCCCAGCAAGGGTGCACGACTTGGGCTATACCATACTGGCTGCAACTTCCAAACACCCAACTCAAGGGACCGCTGGCTTTGGCAGCACCAGCTCCACTGTGGTATGAACCAAGTTTCTCAGCCTAAGTGTTTGAAAACAAGTCAGTGGTTTACAAATTAATAGAGATGAAAATATTTGGTTCATGCGAACAAATCACAATTAAATGCATTGCACAGCCTTTTAGAGATAGCTTAGATCATTACTGATTATAGTACTTTCATTTATCTCAAGTATCACTGGGATGAGTTCTGCATGTTAAGATTCCTAAAGCTCTAAAAAAAAAGCTCATCTTAGAGAGATTTTTTTTCGTTAATTCCTGTCAGTTACTTCAATAGGCCAAACAATTTATTTTCTTGTGTGGGGTATTCATTAATTATCTCATTCTTATTTGTTTCTACTTTGCTCCCTGCAATCAACGGTCATTGTCAGTGGAATAGACAGTCAATCAATGTTTAACAAAACAATCAGAACAATCATCTCACCAGAGTATATTCTGCAGAGCAGTTTTGGGTCCCTGTGCCACAGTGATACTGTCCAAGTTTAAGTTCCATCTGTTTCAGAGGTGTGCTAAAACATGTCTGAACAGGTTGATTAGAAAAATGTACTTCCTTCAGAACACAATCCTGTGAAGTCTAAGGGAGTAAATGCAAATCTTCACCTTATTTTCACCTGTCAGATACTCTGGACATTCACCAACCAACTGAATGCAAGATCTAACCCCATGGTAAAGCAACAATGTTCTTTGCTCTCTTTAAGAAAGCTGTCCAGGATCAAGCAACCTCTGTGAATGTATTTCACTTTTCTCTTATCAGTTTGAATTTAATTGAAGAAATCTCTAGGCATCCAACAGCTATGGTGTCTTTAAGTAGCATAAAGAACCAAACACATTTAAGTATTCCCATCGTCAGAAAACCAGGAAGAAAATACATTGATTTTATTTTCACTTTCGATTAAATCAACTCACAAATGAATTTCTCACCACACCATGTATCCCCATCAATTACACTGCATCATTTTCTGCTACTCAAGACTCATGCCCAATATTCAGGTGTTGCACCTTACCCTTACAATATTCCAATGATTTCAGTCTTCAATGCAGTTCTTGCTACATCCATCTTTCACCAGCTGTTTAGTTGTGGCATGTTAATCACCCAAAAACAATGCAACACAGTCTATGCCATTCAGCTGTCTCTCCTGCACAGCAAAGTTGTCCACCATGACTCAAGCAGAGCAAAACAAAGACAAAACAATCATGGTCAACAAGGACACTCCAATTCCCAAGTGCGACAAAAGAGATCGTTCATTGTAGCACACAGCCAGCAGCGATAAAATTTATCACCTCAAGCGTTGCTGAAAACAGAATAAGACAGCACATTTGTGTCATCATATATCCCACCTCCATTCCTAGCCCACCCTCATCTTGCAAT